TGGAGCTGGATGAACACAGCAGGCCAGCAGCATCAGAGGAGCAGGAAAGCTGACGTTTCTGGCCTAGACCCTTCAGTAATTTATGAAGAAGGGTCTAAGCCTGAAACATCAGTTTTCCTGCTCCCCTGATGCTGCTTGGCCTGCTATGTTCATCCAGCTCCACACCTTGTTATCGTAGTTGTCTGAATCATCTATTCAACTTTAGCGTGCTCTGCACTTCCATTATCCAGTCACCCTCTCTGTGGCTTTTCACAATCGATGTATTGGGAGATGATCTCCAACCCTCTCCATAGAATTTATACAGTGTGGAAACAGGCCATTCGGCCCAACAAGTCCACACTGATCCTCCAGAGAACATCCCACCCAGACCCCTACTCTTCCCCTTTAACTTGTTTCTCATGGCTAACACACCTAACTACACATCCCTGAACACTGGTCAATCAACCTTACCTACACATGTTTACACTGGGAGGAAACTGGAGCACCTGGTGGAAATCCATGCAGGCATGGGGAGAATGCACAAACTGTACGTGGCCAGCTGCCCAAGACTGGAATCAAATCCTGCACTCCGGTGCTGTGAAGCAGCAGTGCTAACCACTCAGCCACTGTGCCACCCCACCTTGCCTCTTTTTTCTGAATGTCTGATCACTAAGCCATTGAGAAGAGATATACTGGCACTGGAGGGGGTGCAGAGGAGATTCACTCGGTTGATTCCAGAGTTGAGAGGGTTGGATTGAGGAGAGACTGAGTAGACTGGGCTTATGCTCATTGGAATTCAGAAGAATTGAGGGGAGATCTTATAGAAACATAAGATTATGAAGGGAATAGATAAAGTGGAGGCAGGGAGGTTGTTTCCACTAGCAGGTGAAACTAGGACTAGAGGGCGTCGCCTCAATATAAAGGGAAGCAGATGTAGGACTGAGGTCAGGAGGAACTTCTTAACACAAAGGGTTGTGAATCTGTGGAATTCCCTGACCAGTGAAGCGGTTGAAGCTACCTCTGTTTTTAAGGCAAGGCTAGATCAATTTTTGAACAGTAAAGGAATTAAGGGTTATGGTGAGTGGGCGGGTAAGTGGAGCTGAGTCTCAAAGATCAGCCATGATCTTATTAAATGGCAGGGCAGGCTCGAGAGGCCAGATGGCCTACTCCTGCTCATAGTTTTTATGTTCTAAATGTATCCTGGGTGCTTGCAATGACATGTTGTGCTTGGCTGACCAGTGGTGCAGCACTCTAGTGTAATCTTTTTGTAGTAATTTGGACCTTTTTCTGTGTGTATTTAAATGGATTTTACCCCTGTTGTGTGAAAGTACTAATGCTTGGAAATTGTGCTAATAGGTTGACCTTTCTAAAGATCTCCAACACTGGGAGTCCCTGAAACCTGAAGAGAGACACTTCATTTCTTATGTACTGGCATTCTTTGCAGCAAGTGATGGCATTGTAAATGAGAACTTGGTAATGCTTTTCTTGGTTGTGTTTTTTTTTATTTTGGAATGCCTTTCTTTAGGATAGTAGATGTCTTCGTTTGAATTGAGCATTGGTGATCATATTGTATGTAATCTCTTAATAGGTGGAACGTTTCAGTCAAGAAGTGCAAATAACTGAAGCTCGTTGTTTCTATGGATTCCAAATTGCTATGGAAAATATTCACTCTGAAATGTACAGTCTTCTTATTGATACTTACATCAAGGATCCTAAGGAGAGGTAACTGGATTCTTTTGGGGTTCAAGGTGCGCTGGTTACTTGGCTCATTTTAAGCAATATTTTACAAATCATCGTGTTTCCTTTTGTAGGGAGTATCTGTTCAATGCAATTGAAACTTTACCTTGTGTGAAAAAGAAGGCTGACTGGGCACTGCGTTGGATTGGTGACCGTCAAGCAACATTTGGTAAGGGCAGTGAGTCTATATGGAGGAGAAGCAAACAGTATTTTTTTCTCACTAAGATTGTTTTATCATTCAACAACTGGCAACATTTATTGTTTATCACAATAGGTGCCAATTATGTACAGCCACCTATACAATAGGTGAATGGCACCTTCAATCACTCTGAAATGACAAAAAGTAGGCTTTCCAAACCTTCACAGAATTGTACATGTTTCTTTTCCGTTCAATACCAAATTAACATCCGTATTTAGCTGTGAATGATACTTCCTTCTCAGAACTTTTCTTTCTCATTAGGACAGATCTTCCAAATATTTAAATATCTCAAGTGATGTCAAAAGCAACGCTTCTAATGTGGCTCTGATCATAAGATGTCAGAGCAGTAGTAGGCCATTTAGTGTATCAAATCTGGTTTTGCTCCACTAATCATGCTTGATCTGATTAAACCTCAGCTCCACTTTACTGTCCTCTTTTTTAAACATAGAATTCTGACTGTGTGGAAGCAGGCCATTTGGCCCATTGAGTCCACCCAAGCTCATTCTTACACTTCCTGTGGCCGATCCACCTGACCTACACACTTGGACTGTGGGAGGAAACTGGAGCACAAGAAGAAAACCCACACATGTAGGGAGAATGTGCCAACTCCACAGTGACAATAGCCCAAGGCTGGAATTGAACTGGGTCCCTGGCACTGAGGCAGCAGTGCTGACCACTGAGCCACTCTCTTTGATACCTTATAGACTTTTAACCAGGAAGGGAATCCTTCTTGGCCTTGACTGCTGTTGCCCCCAACTTCTACAGCCTTCCTAGATGCAGAATTACATGGATTCCTACCCTCATGATATTCCTCTCCCTGAAGCAGGAGACTGCTTACATTATGCCCTTTATTATCTCTCTACCTGCCCTATTAAGTCCCTAAGAATCTTTGCTTCAATAAGTTTGCCTCATATTTTTATTTTTTGGCTCCACTAAGTAGTGACCAACTTGACATCTCCCAGTCTTTATATTCCTCCATACCCAAGATCAACCCAGAATCTTCTCTGGACTGCCTCCAATGGCAGAATATATCTCTTTGAATGCAGGGTGAAGTTGATTAGTACATAGTTTTGGCATATTTCCCTATTTTTGTATTCATTCTCTTTTTTGAAATAACAGCCAATATTCAACATATAGTTTCATCTGCCAAGTTATTGCACACTCACTTCAGCATGTATCCCTCTTGACTGCTTGTATCATGCTCATCACTTGGCCTCTTGCCTATTTTTGACATCGACAAACTTTGATAGTAATTCATTTGTCTCCAGTATTAATACTGTAAATGTGGCATCAGTGCTAATCCCTTGGATTTATCAAATACCTTTCCAAGAAACAGTACAACCATGGTTACACTAAATCTGTTCTGCTTCTTACCACTGCAAAGAATCCCACTTAACTGTTTGAACAGTGTTTTTATAGAATGCTGACTCTGATATGTATTTCTCAATATTTTGCTGTAGCACTGTTTACAATAGACTAGCATTTTTTTCAATGACCTGTTAAGCTATCCAACCTGGTTATGGTCTCCTTCCCCTATCAGGATTTATCCAGAGCTTAAGGATTCATGGAAGATTGCTACCAGTATATCCAGTATCTGAAGCAGCTACTTTAGGTTTCAACCTATGTGGTCCAGGGACTTATTGGCCTTTAGTTTCTCTAGCACTTTTTTTTCTCTAAAGATGTTGTTGTATTTACTTCCAATCCACCATCTGCCCCTTTAGTATTTTTGGAATGCTATTAATTTCCTTTACTTAGCATCAGACTTTGCGGCATTTAATCAATTGCTATTTCCTGAATCCTGATTTATTAATTTCCCGATCATCCCTGTTTAAGGGGCACTGTTACCTGGAGTTTTTTCCATGTCTTTTGACATTAATGAGATCACTTTGAATTTGGCCATTCGTCTCTCCTTGATGTGGCCAGAATTTAGCAATGCAGTAAGAGTTGTTTGTGAATTGGTATTTAAACTGAATTCTGAGGTCTGATCATCACATAGTGCTTGGATTACACATGAACATTTGAATCCGCTTATCTTTTGGCAGGAGAACGAGTCGTAGCATTTGCTGCTGTCGAAGGAATATTTTTCTCTGGCTCCTTTGCTGCCATTTTTTGGTTGAAGAAACGAGGATTAATGCCCGGGCTAACATTCTCCAATGAGCTGATCAGCAGAGATGAGGTATGATATGAATTAGTTGTGAATTACATGCATTTGATCTTTGCATCTTGGATTTAACTAAAATCCATGGTTTCCTAGAGCATAACTCAAACTATTCATTGGTGAAAATGTAGTTGTGTAACTTGAGTGAGGCCCTTGGAGGTTAGCCAAATACTTTTCCTCTTTTGGTTACTCATGAAAGTGTCAAGTTTTGGGTAGATTTTTGTACTCTGCACAATTTATTTCACTTCTTAACCATTGTTTTTAGCAGCCTGCCAGTTCTTTATTGCATGTTTCTGTATGAGTCAGTGAAAAGCTCTCATTTGGCCTCTGAAGACACTGGCAGGCCATGTGGTTATCTCTACATACTCTAGTCTGCTTGCTATTCTGGAAATAGAAGCATAATGTTGCTTTAAATGGATTTTTTTTTTTTCTGATCACCAATTATATCCTATGATGTGGCCCATGATCAAGAGTTGAATATTCCTTTTGAGCTTTAAATTGGCTTATTTTGTTAGTACAGCCACCATACAAAATTTGACAATATAAACTATCTTTTATACACTGCTCTGTAGTAATTCTGTTATTTGATTTGCTCTATTATAGGGTCTACACTGTGACTTTGCCTGTCTTATGTTCAAGCACTTGGTGCACAAACCTTCAGAAGAAAGGGTACGGGCAGTCATTCGGGACGCTGTCCAAATTGAGCAGGTAATTTTTATCTTTGTCTGCATTACAAGACAATTTTTCATTATTTTTATGGAAAGAAAAATACTGTAACACCTGGTTATCTGTCCAGTTCTAATTTAGTTAAATACTTATTCCTGTATCACCTTTTTAAAATAGTCTCTGATTGGCCCAGAAGTGAGCTTTTAGGACCCAGTGGAGATGGCACAAGCTTTAGCTGGCATGAAGACAGTGGCCATGAGATGCTTGTCATTGTCTGAATACAGCATACAAGAACAGAACAAGTGGTGACTCAGTGCATATAAATGGTCAAGGAGATGTATTTCATCTCCTCACTTTGAATTGCACTGTTTCTCCAGCAATTACAGTAGCTTCCCTGGCATTGCTCCTAATGGCTCTGCACAGTCTGTTGTTTATCATGGCTGTGATTTTGTCTTTTTTTTTTCAGCCACCCCAGTCCACTAGTGAACAATTAGCTTACCTTTCCTTACTCTTGAAAGCAGCAGCGTATTGCATCCTACCATGTCTCCCAGCCCTGTACAATCGAGGCTATGGAGTTGTAACTTGCCACTAATGTGTGAGTGAAGTTCAGCTTCCTGGAGGATAAGTCAGTTGGAGGGGGGGGGGGGTAAGATGTAAATATGAGGAATTTAAATGTGAACTTTTTTCCCCCAGGAATTTCTGACAGAATCTTTGCCAGTGAACCTGATTGGGATGAACTGCACCTTAATGAAACGTTACATTGAGTTTGTAGCTGACAGACTGATGTTGGAACTGGGTTTTAGGAAGGTATGTTGCAACCAGATTAAATCTATAATAAAATGCCAAGTTCTCTGCACTCAAATTTATGACTTTGTTTTTCCTTTTCATAGATCTACAAAGCAGAGAATCCATTCGACTTCATGGAGAATATCTCACTGGAGGGCAAAACCAACTTTTTTGAGAAGCGAGTTGGCGAGTACCAGAGAATGGGTGTGATGGCTAATACAGCTGACAATTCATTCACACTGGATGCAGACTTTTAAAAGGACCTAGAGAATTGCATACGTCTGCAAAACTATGGGGCACAAAACTTGAGTCTGTAGTCCTGCATATCACTGACTACATTTGGCTAATCGCCTGTATGATCTATTTCAACTAGAATTGCACATTATGTTAACGGGTTCCAAGAAAAAGGTGGGAGGTGTTTGCATTACTTCTGAACATTTTAGTGTGAAATTGCACGGTTTACAACAGTCAACTACATTGCACCGGCATTTTAGTGTAATTTTTTTTGGTTGTGAGTCACTTATTTCAGCAACCAGCTCTTTTGTTTCATAAACATTTGCAATAGTTTTAATGTACATATTTTAATGAAAATGCACTTTCTAAATAAAATTCAAACTTTTTTACCTCTGTTGTGCCTTGCTTCACTGACCAGTTACAGCACCTGGCAGGGGTTTACATTCATCTGATTAGCAGAACAGAAACTGGTAGCCATGAGGGGGAAAAAGTTGGAATAGACTTGTTTGTTTGTTTGTTTGTTTGTTTGTTTTTGTTTGAATTTGCTCTGCTAATCAATTGGATCATGGCTGGTATACCTTCCCGTCATCCCCTTCCTACATTCAATTCCTCCCTTCCCTTAGTACTTAACCTATTGACTTCTGCCTTGACTGACTATTCAAAAACCTGAGCATCCCTGATTATCAAATTCAAATGTCTCATTTGGCTGTTCTAATAGTTTCATCCTCAAATGAGTGCTAATTTGCCTGAAATCTGACTGCTTCATTTTGAGTCCTGTTACCATTCCCTGTCTTTTATTTCAGAAAAAAATCCATGTATTAAAATTGGGGAAATTCTGGAAAGTCCTCAAGCTGCCAGAGATTGGGACCATTTAGCATTAAAACCTGACTTTCTAATCAGGACCGGGGAGAATTGAAAATGGTGTTGAGGCATTGGAAAGTGTTGAGTACAAGCAAAAAAAAAAGGACCAACTGAGCCAAGGTGGAAGGCAGGAAAGATGAATCTTAGTAGGTAAAGATATTTTATCATGTTCTGATGTGTTAACACCTTTTTAGTTTTATCTCTTTTAAAAAAAAAAAGGAAGTGGTTGGGACTTGAGCTCAGGTTAGTAAAACTGCCACTGCAGTGAGTCTTAATTGGCTCAGTTATATGTTGTAAGCTTTAAGGAAGTAGTAAGGAAATGAAGGTCATTGCACATATAGGCTGAAGGTTACAGAAATTGTTGGAAAGAACTCCCTTACTTTATAGACACCTGACCCCACTCCGAGTCTGCCATTTACGAGGCACAGGGCGGGAGAGTGATGGAATACTTCACTTGCCTGGATGAGTGCAACTCCCAACAATAATTGAGCCTCCAGGATAAAGCAACGGATGTGACACTCAATCAGTACGGCAGTGACAGGTACTATTTACAAGATGCACTGAAGCAATTCACAAGGCATATTTCAACTGCATCTTGCAAACCTGTGAAATTTTACCAAGGAAGAAAAGGACATCAAATATATAGTAGCATTACTGTTCTTTTGTTAAGAGGTCAAAACACAAGCTCTCAATTGTTCAAAATTTAAGTAAATCCTTATTACATTAAATCCTGAAGTGTATTTTTTTTAATGTTACGAATTAATTGTGTGATATCCCCAACATAAATTCTACATTCACTCTAAATTTGCACTACCTTTAACAAGTGATTAATTCGGTGTTTTTTCTTTTTAGAAATGATCTTGTATAAACTGTATGATGTTGGCTTCAGTAACTTCTGAAAGTTGTGGTATCCATATTAATTTCACCAGCATTGCCCCAGCTAATGTATCACACACAGCAAATAGTCATACACGGAGATGTGGGCAAATGACCCTAAGAGTATAGGAACAAGAGTAGGCCATTCAGATTGTTGAGCTTGCTCTGCTATTCAATTATATCTTAGTTGATCATCCACCTTACTGTACTAGCTTCTATCCCTTGACATTATCAGTCTGCAGAAATCCTATGATTTCTGCCTTGAACCAATGATTGAGTCTTCACAGGCCTTGGAGTAGAGAATTCCAGGGATTCACCACCCTTACTGAAGACATTTCTCATTCTCAGTCTTATATGGCCTACCCCTTCTGCTGAGATTGTCTCCTGGTTTTATATTTACCAGTCAGAGGAAATAGCTGCGTCCATCTTTCCAAGCTTCGTAAGAATTTTGCAAGTTTCAATTAGGACGCCCTCATTCTTTGAAACTTTATAGACCTAGTTGCATTCCCTCAATGGCAAGTATATTCTTCCTCAGATAAAGGAGGCTGCGAGGAACATTTTAAAAGGAGGGTAGGTGGTTATGTGCAGACGCTTAAGGAAGAAATTCTTGAAAGCAACTGAAAACAATTAAATCAAAACTCAAGCTCTCTCAATTGTTCAAAATTTAAGTAAATCCTTATTACAATAAATCCTGAAGTTTTTTTTAATGTTACGAATTAATTGTGTGATAAGAGAGATGAGTATGGTGCTTTGTGGGTGATATGCCAGTCATAGCTGAATAGCTGGCTGTGTATCCAATCTGAGAGCTTTCAATGGGAAGGTTTCAACAGTGCTAAGTGCATGGGGTGAGGTGAACCGATGAATATGAGGTCTCGTGCTTGCTAAAGATTATTAGTAGCTGAGTGAAAGGGGTATAATTAGTGGATGCAGTTCTTTGAGACTAATAGTTGGGGGTTGTAAGGGTGTGACTTTTGAAAATTCATTCATGGACCTTGAGCAATTGTGTGAGATCATTACACTTCTTCCTGTGCTGCGTGCAGTTTCCTGGAGTTACAGTGCTGGCATTGACCGCTGGAAAGACAACCACTCTTGTCCAGTCTGCCAAGTGTAACAAAGGCTCCGATGCTGCAATGTAGGGTAAGCTTAGAGGACATTCTCTATCGTCTTTTGCTATTTCCACAATTGCTCAGAGCCTCCTCAGGAACCAGTTCCAGAAACTTGTTGCAGCCAGAACACAGCTCCCCTTGGAGAGGCACAGTCTGATGTTATAGAATGCAGGGTGGCACTCATCTGGCAGGAACCTGAAGACTGAAGCCATTCGGCAGCCCTTATAGTACTGGGCTGCACACCAGTATCATTGCCCTCCTGGTCTAATCTATTTTCTCCCTTGATGAGTATAAATTAACATTTAATCTTGAGGTCAGTTCTGCTGCTGATGGAAATGTTGTAAGCGAATTATTGTTTGCTTCAGTCTAATTACTATCCGTATCTGGCCTTTATATAATCGAATATGCACACACTGTACAGTAGAGGGTGCTGTTTGCCATCTCAGTTTATAGTGTGGGATGTTCCCATTGTTAACACAATTTTCGAATTTCAGTAATGTTGAAGGATATGTTTTGTTTATGTAAATTAATAAATGGTTCAATTAAAGCAAGGCCATTTGCTTTTTATTTTGTGTTTCTTATCTGCAGCAATATTGAAACATTGTATTTGTCTGGACTGCCTGTTAAAGTTGAATAGCTGGCATTGTTTCCATGCACTTGAATGATAACAAGGAGTCTGTTTTAACTTGTGGTGCTAATCTTCACTCAGTGATAACACCGACACCTGAATCAGAGAAAAGGTACTGGGAAAACCCTAACATCGTAATGGTCTTTAAAAAGGGTTAGAGAAATAATGGATGCATTGGTTGGAAAATTGCTTGAATTTTTTTAAAAATGACACAGTTAACCAAACATCTGTCTTTAGGAAAGTGCTAGAATGCATTACTAAGGAAGTAGCAGCATGAGATTTTAAAGCAGCTGAGCATCACTGTCAGACAGAGTCAACATGGTTTTATGAAAGGGAAATCATGTTTGGCAAATTGTTAGGATTATCTGAGGATGTAACAAAAGGGATGCATAAAGGGGAACTAGCCAATATTTGGATATTTGGATTTCCAAAAGGTACTTGATTCTTTTTACTTTCTCCATTTTCTCCCCTATGTAACTGCACAGAGGCCGGCATCCTGTAGCCAAGTCCCCCTTTATTTACATGTGCACAGTACATGGGCTCTGACCAGCCACCTCAAAGCTAGTCCCTAGACTGGGGAGACCCTATAAATCTCTTGTCTATTTTTAAATTTTTAAAAAATTCTCCCACAATACCAGTGCACCCAAAAGGGCGCCAGCAGTAGAGTTTATATTTTCCCCACGTTACCTGTGGCTGTGTGTGCAGTGACTCAGTAAAATGACACTATTGTGTAAGAACTTTATTCTGTATTTTCTGTCACCAGAAAAACAGCCATGTGGCCAGTGAAACTAAAAGGTATTTGATAATGTTGTCTGAAAGGGTAAAAACAGAGAAGTGCCTTAAGTTCCACTTTGATGATGTCATCTGGACTTGGTTGTGAAACATTTGGGACTTTGAAGAGATAAGGTTTACCATCTGGATTGGCCTCCTGATCTCTATAACAGTATCTATCATATTACTGTAATTTGCAGATATTTACTGACGTGCAATAGACTACATCTTGTTTAAGATTACAGCCTCCTTAGACTACCAAATGGTTTTCCTCTATCACACTAGGCCAACCAAGCCCTGTAGATCCCTACTGGGAAAGAGAACGGTGGCAGAAAATTTACCAAATAGCTCAAAAGATATGATGAGCAGTGATGTGGCCTCATCTTACAGCAGGTTCTGCCTGAAAGGTTACTGCACAAGATAAGAGCTCCTATTTATGGGAGTGATATATTAGCATGGACAGACAACTACCTAACTAACAAGAACAGAGTTGGGATAAACAGGACAAGCTACAAATCTTGAGTTGCCACAGGGATCAGGCTGAGGCCTTAACTACTACAATCTATATTAAGGACTTGGTTGAAGTGATTGAGTATTTTGTAGCCAAATTTGCAGAAATTATAAAGGTAGGTGAGATACAAAGTGGGGAGGAGGATACAAAGGGACTGAGGTAGGTTAAGTGAATAAGCAAAACTTTGTTAGGTGGAGTGTATTGAGGGATGTTGTGGGGTTACCCACTTTGAGAAGAAGAGTAGAAAAGCAGAACATTATTTAAAGGTAGAAAGACTACAGAATGTTATGGTATAAAGGGATCTTGATGCCCTTGTGCTTGAATCACAAACAGAATGCATAAGTAATTAAGGCAAATGGAATGCTGCTTTTTATTTTAAGGGGAATCTAGTATAAAATTAGAGAAGTCACTTTATAACCATACAAGCTATTGGTAAACCAGCATCTGGATGTACAATTTTGAACTCATTTTAGGATAGATATATTTTCATTGGAGGCAGTTCAGACAAAGTTGACTAGATTGATTCTTGGGCTGAGAGTTTTGTTGTGTGAGGAAAGGATGAATAAGATGGGCCTAGATTCATTTGAGTTTAGAACAATGAGACACTATATTATTGAGATATATATGGTTCTGAGG